ATACCTCAACGCAGACACTGGCCACAGAGAGACTCCGTTTCTGCATCCAGAAGAAGGTGAAACTTTAGAAACAGGTGGATCTGCCAGTGGTTTATCCTGTGGATTATCCTGTCGATAATCCTGTGCTCTTAAATTCAACAAGAGCTTCGTTCTCCTCGGTTAAATGCCTTAACAACAGTCCTGGTATCACGTAGAAGGACCTCTAACTCGCTCTCCACCCTCTTTTTCCACCCTTGATGAAGCATTTGCGGAACTGCGAGCTGGCGATCGCTATTCGGGTTAATTAGCGATCGGGGTCGTGACATCGTTCGCTCAGGATGGGAATAAGGTAGTGAAGATTCCTTTGCCGAGGACTAGACCTCGCAAAGGTCCCCTCTTGCGCCGGTCAAGACCGATTTCTCGGAGACCAAACACACGCCTGTCAATCGATCGGATAATGACCATGGACGGACGTTCTTTTGACTTAAAAATCCACGAAAATCGTAGGAAACCCTGGTCGATGTTGATATTCAGCTCTGCCCGATGTCGAGGTAACGGAGGAAACGTGGTAGCTCACGGACTAGCCAAGTTTCTCTGTAAATATCGCGAGATCTGAATTCCTCGCACGTTCCTCTCGTAACTGTGACAACCTCTGAACGAGTTGCGATACAATTTTCGAGTAATTCGTAAGTCGATGAAATCTTGACTGATTTAATGCGATTATTCCACGAGGTATTCGACCTGCAGACAAGCTGGAATTTAGGTATTGCGAGGTCGAGGTCTTTAGACTTCCAGAGATGTGTCAATTGAGCAGAACGATGTCAATTAGGAAATTCTCAGTTTTCAAAGTTTGTGAGGCTTTTTCAGACCTGGGAAGACGTAAACTATTTCCAAATTGTGCTTTAGGACTGTTTAGGTGAATTTCTATTCATGTGTCTATCTTTAAAATTATAGTAAGCGTGAAGAAGTATCATGGTGCAATTTTGACAGATGAAGTCTTTGATTTTAATTCTGAAGATTTTTTCGTACAATGTAAGGCGTATTTTCAACACGAAAATATTTTATTTGATGCTATCACCTCTGTCTATTCCTCGCAATTCTGGCTGCCATTAGATCGACTCGGTTCCTGGATACAAGGCATCCAGGTTGTCAAAACTAGTGACAGGCACTTATACCGATTCGACGCCACAATTTTCGAGTTTTCGAGGCAAAGGCGTTCGAAAGCTCGGTCGAAATGGCTCGTGGGTACCCGATGCTGATTAAATTTCGAAGTTTAGATTAGCACTATGGCACAAAGCCGACGTAGTTCCTCTGTTCGTCTAACATGTATTTGCATGAGCTGGAAACGGAGGTCGACCGCGCCACTTCAGGTCGCTCCAATTATCGGCCCAAGTTACACAATATTTCCAACCGATTATGCGAGTCCTTCATAACGAAGAATCGACGCTGTTAATTGTGACTGTCTTAAGTGTACGGTGTCATCGACGAATTGAAACGTGCACAGGGTGGCTCGCTTAAAAATCAACCACCTGAATATTTTTATGAATATTATAACGATTGTAATAAATACCTTTTATGCTAGGTGTCAGAGGACTGTACCTAAGTATATATACAAGGTGGACCATGTCAATTATCTTCAATTATTTATATCCTTGTAAATATTCTTGTAAATTGTAAAATGTCGGAGAGTAACGAGAAGATAATGAAATTTGACAATAGCGAAATGATCTTCAATATGCAGGATAATAAATAAATATACAATTTACTTCTATAAAACCCATAAATCTCAGAAAATTCTTGAAAACATTCTGAAAAAAATGAAGCAGTCTTTTGATACCATGAATTATAAATTACATAGAAAATATTTCGTTTATCATTGCGATTGAGGAAAATATTGAAATATCTATCTATAAATCGGGCACCTTGCATGTGTACTCCTAATAATTTAATTTAGAATTAACTTTTTAAGTTTAAATGGAGCAGTCTGTACATGACAATTCTATGAATTTTAATATAATATTCGTAGCTTGAAAGGGAAACCAAAATAATTTTGAAGAGGAAAGAAAAAGATTACATCATGGCTGCCAATCCTCTGGGATTCTTCGCAGAAGTTGAAGATATTAAGATATCTACTACAGACGAGGCACCTTGTCCGCATATTCCTAATAATTTAATTTAGAATTAATTTTTGAAGTTTAAATGGAATACCCTTGAAGGTGGAGGACGAGAGGTTCTTTAGAGATACTGTGTTTACTGGGCAGGACTTTATTAA